TCCTTCCTTCCTTCCTTCCTTCCTTCCTTCCTTCCTTCCTTCCTTCCTTCCTTCTCCTTTCTCTTCTCTCTGGCAGTTGAAGTCCACCAGTCTTAAAGTTGCCAGGTTTGCTGGATGCTTTGATGCCGGACCGTTCACCGGAAAGACACCAGACGTGGGAATAAGCCTAGCCGTGTGATTGTGTGTGTGTGTGTGTGTGTGTGTGTGTGTGTGTGTGTTTTTAAAAAAGGGGGGGGGGAAGGGGGGCAATAAAGAATATTTTAAACCGGCCCGACACAGACAAAGCTGAGGACTCGGGGGAGCCGTGAAGGAAAGCCTCTAAACCAAACAAAACCCAGAGAAATCCCTGGGAAAATCAGAATTATCAAAATCCCGGGGAAGAGGTTGATATCCGCGGGAAAGCGGAAGGGCAGAATCTCGGCCTTGGGATTCCTAGGCCATCTGGGGCTCAAGGAGTTTGAAAGCCGCAAAAAAATAATGTTTTTTTAAATTTGGGGACACTGGGGTGTGTGTGTGTCTCTGGAGTAAGAGAATCCATGTGTCGGTCTCACGGATGATTCTAGGTGTCGAGTTATGACTGTTTGGACTGATGCCTGAGAACCGGATGTTAAATTTGTATCTGGTTTGCCAAACCACGATTTGAACCGACCGGCTGGCCCTGCTCACCCTGCCCGTCCCCTCCCAGGAGTCTCCCTGAGGCCCGTTTCGGATGCAGGTAAGCGCAGGGTAGGCGTGGAGGCTCTGGGAAATGGGCAAAATGGGCTTTCTGGAAGTACCGGAAGTTACAGGTAACAGGTAATCAGAGTTGGAAGGGTTCTTGTAGGTCATCTAGTCCAACCCCCTGCTCAAAAAGGAGAGCCTATGTTAGGAATACAAGTCACCTAACAGGTATTTGGGTTAGAAATATATAAACCGGGATAAACATTTTAAAACTGTATCTTTTAAGAAAATGCAAAAGTGTAATTGGGTGTGGTTTCTTAAACAGCCATAAGATGGAGCCAGAAACCTGGGTTGTTTTAGTTTTAGTCTGAGTCTCAGAAGAGAATGTGAGTAAGTCTCTGTTTCCTTCTGTTGGAAAGTATTGCCGTTGCCCCATTTCTTCTAATTGACCGATATTCCTGGATTTGATATAAGTCTGATACTGTACTGTTTTTTGACACTGGACTTTTGATATTTGGATTATCCCTGGATTGAAAAACGGACTGATTTACCTGTGAATGACTTTTGGACTGCTTATCTTGAACTTTGCTTAAACTTTCTGGAAGTAAAACCCTACATTTACTGTACAGTGTATCTGTGTGCTCTGTGTGTGTATTATTCAAACACTTCTCTCAAATACGACTCCCTGTATGTGCTCATTCTCCTAACGGGGAATTTACCTCAACACTCTACACCATTTCTATCCGGAAATGGGCCTGTGTCCGGCTTCCAGAGGGCCTCCGGACTCTGAGGAAGGTGAAAAACAGCCCTCCCAGCAAACCACACCCACCAAGGCCACGCGGACGTTAAGCAAATCTGGCTCTCCACCGCCTCCCCCCCCCCCGGCCGGTAAGTTTGCAAAATGGGGATTGCAGGGGGGTCTAGGGCAATTCTCCACGGGGCAACTTGCCACGGGATATTCCCTGCGGGACAAGAGTTTACGGCCAACGGCGAAGCAATGGTCATGCGAATGACAAAGCTTCAAAATCTTTTGTTGGTAGTGTACTGCATCCAGTTTTGGGCACCTCATTATAAAAAAGATGTTGAGACTCTAGAAAATGTGCAGAGAAAAGAAACCAGGATGATGAGGGGACTGGAGACTAAAACATACGATGAACAGTTGCAGGAACTGAGAGAGAGAGAGAGAGAGAGAGGAAGGGAGGGAGGGAGGGAGGGAGGGAGAGAGGGCGGAAGGAAGGAAGGAAGGAAGGAAGGAAGGAAGGAAGGAAGGAAGGAAGGAAGGAAGGAAGGAAGGAAGGAAGGAAGGAAGGAAGGAAGGGACATCTGAGCAAGCCATGGATGGACAGAAGACATGTCTAGTTTAAGGAATGGATGGATGGGGTGACATGATAGCAGTTTCCCAATATCTCAGGGCTTGCCACAAAGAAGAGATGAAAAAAAAGACGCCGAGACTCTAGAAAAAGTACAGAGGAGCAACCAGGGTGATTGGAGGCTAAAACATACGATGAACAGTTGCAGGAACTGGGCCTGGCTAGTCCAGTGAAGAGAAAGACCAGGGGAGACAGGAGAGCATCTTCCAATATTTGAGGGGCTGCCACAGGGAGGAGGAAGGGGTCAAGCTATTCTCCAAGGCACCTGAAGGCCTGACAAGGAATAATGGATGGAAGCCGATCAACGGTGGTAAGAATGCAAAACCATCATAAGGGACTTGTTTCAGTGCTGTTGTAACTCTGAACGGTCCCTAAATGAATCCAAGGCCAGCTATGTTAAGTGACTGGAGCTTAGAGAAGACCTCTACGCTTCCTTCCAGCCGAGTGGGAACGGAGCCGCGGTGCCTGGTCCTTGGCACCGGGATCTCTAGTATGGATGGGGAGGTGGGGGGAGGGGTGTAAAGGGGGGGAAGGGGACAAAGCCAGAAGCCTGGATTTTACCTGCAGGGTCATTTTCCCCAAAAGGGAGGGAGGCTCATTCTCAACATCTCTTGCTGGAGCAGCCAGACGCACCTGGAGGCCCCCGAGACGCTCCGGCCAGTTCTGCTCGCGGAGAGGTTCCCGCCACGGCTTCCCTCTGGGTGGGGGCTCGGACCAGGCAAGGACTGGGCCGGGTGGGAAGCCACCCCCGGCCTCTTCCAGGGCATCTGGTTTTAGATCTCTTGCCGGGACGAACCAAGACACGCCTGGATGGGGGTAGAAGAAGAACGGTGGTGAGTTTATTTACTAGCTCGATCGCCGTGCTTGGCTACGAAACTATGTGGTCAGGCTTAGGTTTTGGGGGAGGAAAATAAGGGGGAGGGGAATTCTGCCTCTGCCTACAAGCATCCATCGGTATTCATCCGGCTGGCATCATGTCAGTGTGTGAGAGAGAGAGTTGAGGGCTGTTTGGAAACTGAAAGAGTATTTGTTGTGTGAGCAAGGAGACGGCAAGGAGTCTTTTAGCTCAACTGTTCTGTACTAAAGCTGCCTGGTGCTGCTGTGAAACTGAAACTCCTCTGCTTGTGTTTTGTCTTTGGAAGGGATTTCTTTCCAGGTAGGGAGGGGGAGTAGGACTCCTTAGCATCAGAGCGTGTTAATAATAATAATATAGGAAATACTAAATGCTCTGATGGTCATTTCAAAAAATCCCTTCTTAGTGAGCCCCTAGAAGCCAAGAATATGTGCCAAATTTCAAGTTTGTAGGCTTTATCTGGGATGGATGGATGGATGGGTGGATGGATGGGTGGATGGATGGATGGATAGATAGATAGATAAATAGAGAGAGAGAGAGAGAGAGAGAGAGAGAGAGAAAGATAGATAGATAATAGAAAAGATAGATAGATAGATAGATAGATAGATAGATAGATAGATAGATAAATAGATAGATAATAGAAAAGATAGATAGATAGATAGATAGATATAGATAGATAGAAAAGATAGATAAATAGAAAAGATAGATAGATAGATAGATAGATAAATAGATAGATAGAAAAGATAGATAAATAGAAAAGATAGATAGATAGATAGATAGATAGATAGATAGATAGATAGATAGATAGATAGATAGATAGATAGATAGAGGTGGGATTCAGCCGGTTGAGACTGGTTCTAGAGAACCGGTAGTGGAAATTTTGAATAATTATTTGGGAGAACCAGCCAATCCCGCCTCTGACTGGCTCCGCCAACCCCATCTCTTCTCTGCCTCCCATTGAGTTCGATCCTGGGTAGAGACAGATATTTCTCTCTCTCTGGGCACAATGAGAATAGACCTGCCGAACAAAACTCCGCGCTGGCAACAGGAAGGGCATCTGGCCAGTAAAACACTCTGCTAGCTGCATTAGGTAGCCCAGACTCCACCCTGCAAGGGATTATGGGTTTGTTAAAAGAAGAAGGTGAAGGCAGTGTGTGTCCCCAATGCTCCCACCTCCTCTTTTCTCTACAAACACAACCACCTTAGGAGGTGGGCTGGGCTGAGAGAGAGAGGGGGGGGGGGATACCTAGAATAAAACCCAGCCAGCTTTGAGAGTCAGAGAGGACTAGAACTCACTGCCGCCCGGTCTCTAGTCAGGCAGGTTTGGCACTGCACCATGCTGGCTCTTGCAACGCAGCCCAAACCGATACAGTCTAACACACACACACACACACAGCCTTTACAGAGACCTTGCGTCCACTGCGACCGGCTCCTTCTGGGCCTCCTCCCTTCCAGAAAGCTGCCCGGCTGCCACTTCTGCTGCTCCTCGCTTTCTGCCGACAGCCCATGGTGCTGAGCCAGCCCCTGCTCTGCCCTGCTCCTCGACCCTCCGTGGAGCGTGGCTTGGCTTGCAGTCGGGGTGGGGAAAGTCAAGCCCACGTCGCGAGTGTGCTTCTTGGTGGCGCTGTTCACAATCTCAAAGTCTCCTGGGTCAGGGGGAATCAAAGGAAAACACGGTTGGTCTCCCCGATGGGGCAACCCCATCGGCTGGTGCTGTGGATCATGGGCCTCTCGGGGACTCTTTGGGGAGGGAGGATTCGGGAGGGGGAGACCAGGGAAGGTCATGCTAGCAACAAGGGCAATAAAGGACACCCAGTGTGTCATGCCCCTGTCGGAGTCTGAATTCACGGAGTGGGAGCGTGGATCCGTTGGCTGTGGAGGAAACTAGAGAAGGGCAAAGTCCGCGCTGGGCAGAGCAGGGGAGAGGGAGAACAAGGGAGAGGGGGGTTCAGAGGAAGACCCAGGCCCACCCCCTCTTTATCCTAGGGCACTTAGGGAAGAACGGAGAAGGGAGCAACAGGGGTGGCGTGGCTTACGGGCGAGGAAAAGGCCCTGATTCCCTTCATTAGCCACACCTGGGAATGAGAGTTTAAAAGAGATGCAAGCTGAGAGCGGCACCTGCTGGGAACAAATGTGAGTTTATCATGTGTTGACTTTGGTTCTCTGCGTTCCTGGCGCCTTCCCAACTGGGTTGAATTACCGCCGTTTCTTCACATCTGGAATTCCTTCTCTTGCCCTTCCGGACTAATGACCTCATCTTGCCTTGATTGGACTTATAGTTACAGTTTTTGTTGACCACGTTTTGGACTAGGGCACCCTTTTTTTGAACTATTACCATCTGGCAGATGGTACAGGATAATAATAAAAACAAGGACAAATAGGCTGAAAAAAAACAGCTTCTATCCCAGGGCAGTAACTCTATTGAATTCTACTGAATAGGACAATATGAATGTGCAATATCTGGGGATTTCAATTCAACTGCATAGAATGTGAAGGATGTAAATTTTATTTTTTTTAACATATTTGATTGATTAAATTATTAAAACATTGGACACTTGGGATCATCCCGACATTCCTTTTTGTCATACATCTTATATACATTTGTAGTTAGTTTTTAATCTGTAATTACCCCTTCTACAAATCCTGTTTATTTTTTTATTCTGGGTCCTTCCTTTCTTTTCCGACCATTGATAAAATTCTGTCTCATCCTTAGTTTTTTTTTTAATTCCAGAGTCAATCTGTCCATTTCAGCACGTATCATTATCTTCTTTATCACCTCACCTTCCGTCGGGAATTTCTCTAACCTTTCCATCTTGGGGGAAAAAAATCCTTCTTGCTGCCGTGATAATGTGCACTATTAGATAAATCTCTGCTTCACTATATCTTCTTGGCATAATTCCAAGTAAAAATAATTCCGGTTCATAAATCTACCTTGTGTTGTCCAGAACACAAAAGGCAAGAAACTTCCAAGGAGGAAGAATCGACTTCAGATCGACTTCAAATCCAGGAGGATCTGAGGCTTCTCCAAAGTCGGTTCCGTCTCCACGCCAGTCAGACCTCCATTAAGCAAGGCAGAAGTTAAGAACTGATAAGTTAGGCCCTGAAGTGAAAAAAAAATATTGGAAGAAATATAAATGTGGTTACAGGAATTAATCGGGTTAATTAATTAGATTTTTTTTTGTACCAGAATTATTTCTTCTAGGGATAATCAATATTAACAGCAGCAAGAATTGCATCCGAAGGCTTAGTAATTAAAAAATAAATTTGAGTGTGCGGAAATGGATAAATTGACTATAGAACTAAAAGGGAAAGTAGATTCAGAATATTATTGTCACGCCCCTGATGGAGACTAGACTGACTCCGAGGGAGAGGAGGAACAGCCGACAGGGAGTGGAAATGTGGCTCCGGAGATTGTAGAGGAAACCAGGGAACAGCACAGACTGGCTGGGCATTCAGAGGAAGATTATCCTAGGGCCCACAGGGAGGAACGGAGAAGGGAACAACATGGCTTATGGGAGAGGAAGCAGTCATGATCCCCTTCATTGGCTGCAGCTGAGGGGAAGAGTATAAAGGAGGGATATTTAAAACACAGCGTTGCTAGAAGCAAAGCGTGTTTTATTCCTGGCTGAGGTTTATCTTGGCTGGCGTTCTTCCAACGGACTGTGCCTTGTTATCTTCTTGAAGTTTGTAATTAATTATCCTGCTCTGTCGTGGAACTTTCTTCAGTGAGGTTTGTTTTGGGTTTTTTTTATTGCTCCGTTATCGGTTCTTTGAGTTTGGACTGTATTCCTTTCTTTTGGAGACTATTTTGGAAAGAGTTTAATCTCTAACTGCGCACGATTGAACCCGTGAAGCCAAGTCGGAGACATTAAAGGAAATTTATTTACGTTTGGAAATTTATTACATGTGCGCCGCTTCCTGGGTCGTCACAATTATGCAATATGGGAGAAATGGTATCATTGGATAGACAATAGAAATAAGAAAAGAAAGCGTATAAAATAGATGTAGATAGTATGGAAATAGAACGTATAGATTGTATTGGATAGGATATAAAAATAGTACATAAAATGTCATAGTGCTGTTTATTAAGTGACTGAGATATGTAAAAAGAAAAAACCCAATAAAGTATTTTTTTTAAAAAAAGAACTGGAAAGGGTTAGGGCACAAAAGAGACTACAAAGTCTTTTGAATTCGACTTCTTCTTCTTGGTGAAACGCTCTGGAGGCCAAAGACTCTGCTAAGAAACCAGCCTGGGAGGAGACGGCCGAACCGAAGCGACTCACCTGCCTGGACGGCCTTATGGGACATCCGCTTGCTGCTCAGGGCCAGGCTCGGCCCATGGGAACTGCCGAGGCTCGAGGCGGAATCGGAGGACGTGGAAGACGGGCTGGGCTGAAAGACAAAACGGAGGACGGGGGTTTGAGAGGATGGGGTGAGGTTTGAGGACAGGAGGAGGCGGAGGAGCAACTGTGGGGTCCTGGGTGCTCTCTTGAGATTGGTGGTTCCCTTGCAGACGTCTCATTACCACACTAGGTAACGTCATCGGTCCTAGACGGGAATAAGTTTTGTGGAGAGGAGGAGGGAGAGGGGGAGGAGGGAGGGGGAGGAATAGGAGAACTGTGGGGGCCTTAGTGCTCTCTGAACTTGGCTGTTCTCTGGCAGACGTCTCATTACCCAACTAGGTAATGTCATGAGTGCTAGAAGGGAATGGTTTTGTGGAGAGGAGGGAGAGGAAGAGGAGGAGAACTATGGGGGCCGTAGTGCTCTCCTGGGCTGTTCTCCTGCAGACATCTCATGACCCAACTAGGTAACATCATCAGTGCTAAACTGATGATGTTAGCTAGTTTGGTACTGAAACATTTGCAAGAAAACCACCAAGCTGAGACAGCATCAAGGACTGCACAGTCCCCTTCCTCCCCACAAACCCCACTCCCTTCTAGCCCTGATAATGTCACCTAGTTGGTCACGAAATGCCTGCAACAAAACCGCTCAATACTCTCAAGAATATTGACAGGGCAATATATAAATAGAGAGGAAAACCCGCCCCCCTCCCTTCTGGCACTGATGGTGTTAGTTATTTTGGTAATGAAATGTCCGGAAGAAAACCAAGCGCAGAGAGCACCAAGGACCTCCCAGCTCTCCTCCTCCTCCTCCTCCCTATTTCCTCCTAGCACTGATGATGTTACCTAGTTGGGTCATGAAACATCTGCAAAAAAAAACCCATCAACCTCAGAGAGCACCAAGGACCCCACAGTTATTTTCCTCCTCTTCCTCCCTGCAAACCCTCCTCCCTTCTAGCACTGATGTTACCTGGTTGGGTCACGAAACGTCTGCAAGAAAACCACCCGGCTCAGAGAGCACCAAGGACCCCACAGTCCTCCTCCTCCTCCTCATCTTCACAAACCCCACTTCCTTCTAGCACTGATGAGGTTACCTAGTTGGGTCATGAAACGTCGGCAAGAAAACTTACCGAGCTCAGAGAGCACCAAGGACCCCACAATCATTTTCCCCCTCTTCCTCCTCCTCCTCTTCCTCCTCCTCTCCACAATCTCCACTTCCTTCCAGCACTGATGATGTTACCTAGTTGGGTAGTGAAATGTCTGCACAAAAACAGCCAATCTCCGCCTCCTCCTCTTCTCAGCAAGCTCCCCCTACCTTCTAGCCCTTATGCCGTGCGACCTAGTTGGGTCACAAAACGTCTGCACCAAACTTCTGGGCGGGCTCCCAGGACCCCACTGTCCTCCTTGGCTGTCTTAACAGACCATCGAAGGACAACGAAGCGAGGACTTTAGGATGACCTCAGGCCAACACCTGCCCTTGGCATGACTCCCAAGACGACGGAGCCAGCCTGCACGCCACAGACTGCTGGCTTACCCCTTTGCCTTCTGTCCGCGCGCTGGTCAGAAGGCAAGGTGTAAAGTTGGCATTTAGCAGGTTCACAGGAACGGCAGGTGAGACTGTGAATCTCAGCCCTGACCTTTGCAGAGGGGACAATACCTACAGCAATGAGGGCTGGCCAATTTCATATTAGGAACCATGTTTTGGTTACCTAAACCAGGGGTCCCCAATCACCAGGCCACGGACCGGTCCCGGTCCGTGGAACATTTCCTACCGGGCCGCCGGTTTGCTGGGCGCCGCCATCTTGTTTTGATGAGAAAGAGCTTCCAGGTGAGCTTTTCCGGTTGCAAAGCGGCGTTTGGGTCCTGAAGGAATCCTCACGCCTTAGTTTCATCGAAGGGGGGGGGTGCTTCGAACGAAACTAAGGCGCAAGGATTCTTTCAGCACCCAAGGCAAGGCGAGCCGAGCGACCGTCCCAAAGCGAAGCCCATCGACAAAGGTACAAAGGAGGAGTTAAAGGTGGCGGGGAGAAGCGGAGGACGGCTGGCTGGCCCGTCGCTCGGCTCACCTTTCCTTGCCATGCGTGCTGATGCCAGTACCGGGCCGCGGATCATTTTGTGATGCCGGTACTGGGCCGCGGCACAAAAAAGGTTGCGGGCCACTGACCTCAACAGTCCCTTTCAGGGCCACGAACAATAAAAATGTTAACAGAACACTAGCACCGGCCTTAGTCACTGCAACACCTGTGCCACCTTGTGGGTATGCAACAGTAAATCTGTTCTCATAATCATTGTAGGCGGGCGTTGTAAGCCTGCAAGCAAATTTACAACCCCCACCCAAACAGCACCAAAGTGCAAAAAGCTTCTGCTTTTCACTTAAAAGCCACCAGTGTTTATTTAAATATAACAATATTTGCATAGCAGTTAGCATAAGATATCATCAAATCAATGGCCTATCCAAAAAAAAATGTCATAAACCGGAAACTGTAAACTGTACAGCGTGCAGGACTTTTGCACAGCTGTAACTGAATAGGTAAAGGCAGCCAGAGCTAATTCAGGCCTACGACGTAACCCATCACAGGTAGTTCTCCATCTAGCAGAGTTCATTTAGTGACCGTTCAAAGCTACAGCGGCTTCGACGGAGAGATTTAAGACCATTTTTTTCAGACTTACGACCGTTGCAGCATTTCCCCAGGGTCACCTGATCCAAATTCAAAGGCTTGGCAATTAACTCATCTTTATGACGGGTCATTCTGACGAGGTAAGTCAATAGGGAAGCCGGATTGGCTTAACTGACTTCCAGGGATTCCGTTTAACGACGGTGGCAAGAAAGGTCGTAACATGGTGGGGGTGGGGAATTCACTGAGTGACTGTCTCTCTCTTAGCAACCGAAATTTGGGGCTCCATTCAGATCATAAGGTGAGGACTAACCTGTATTGTCTGCCTGCCACCAAAGAGAGGGAAGATAATTGGGAATAGTTCACTTAGCGACCGTTCAAAGTTACGATGGTCCTGGAAAAATGTGACTCGTGGCCGTTTTTCACACGACCGCTGCAACATTCCCCCCCAACGGTCCTGTGATTTACATTCGGACGCTTGGGCAGCTGACTCACATTTATGACAGTGGCAATGTCCCTGGAGAAGGGGGGGGGCGTTTCGTGTGATTCCCCTCTTACGACTTTCTGACAGGCAAAGTCGAGAAGGAATCCGGATTCGCTTATCGACCGGGTTATTAATTTAACAACGGCAGCGATTTCCCCTTAACAAACGTGGCCAGGATGGTCGTAAAATGGAAGCCAAACTCACTTAAGACTTATTCCTCAGCAACCCAAATTTGCGGCTCAGTTGCGGTCGTAAGTTCAGGACTACTTGTAAAAAAAAGGTGGCAGTGGGAGTGTCATACCCTTGTCGGAGTCTGAATCAGAGGAGGAGGAAGAGGAGGAGCCGACAGGGAGCGGGAAAGTGGCTCCGTTGGCTGGGGAGGAAACTGGGGAAGAGCAAGGTCCGGCTGGGCAGAGCAGGGGAGAGGTAGAACAAGGGAGATGGGAGTTCAGAGGAAGACCCAGGCCCACCCCCTCTTCATCCTAGGGCACGCAGGGAGGAACGGAGAAGGGAGCAACGGGGGTTGCATGGCTTACAGGGAAGGAAAGGGCCCTGATTCCCTTCCTTAGCCACAGCTGAGAAGAGAGTTTAAAAGAGACGCAAGCTAAGTGCAGTAGCTGTTGGGAGGAAACGTTGAGTTTTATCTTGTGGTGACTGTGGTTATCTGTGTTCCCGGCATCCTCCCAACCATGTTGAATTAGTGCCGTTCCTTCACATCTGGAATTCCTTCTCTTGCCCTGCCGGACTAATGACCTCATTTTGCCTTGATTGGACTAATAGTTACAGTTTTAGTTGACCATGTTTTGGACTTGATTCTCTGCAGCCAAAAACTGTTCCTGGGAGATTTTTTCTCCAGCCCACAAGGTAACCAGGACATTGGGGACAAAGTTGGAACTAATAAAGGGACTTCTACGGATTATCTGGCTGGGTTGCCTTTCTGCCACGTCCCTTTGGGTCATTAAAAGGGAGAGAGACAGATGTTATAACAAGCATCCCGATTTTTCCTGGGTCTGTTTCCGCACATGGCCTGTTTGGTTATCTTAGCAGGAACATCTGTGCAAGTCGGTGTTTAACAGGCCGCAGAACTGTTATCTTTAATAATTGCTCCTGCTTAATTGATATAATTGACTGGCAAATGAAGAGGCTGGAAGACATTTCTTTCGGGGGGAGAGGGGGGGGGGGAAATTCTGTGGGAGTCGTTTTTGTGCAGGATTTTTTTTTAAAAAATGGAGTTAATTATCCCAATCTCGAGTTTTACACAAAGACAACTGCTGTTGCTTAAATACCATGTCATTTCACCGCAGTATTCTTTTCTTCGTAATGGAGCGAGCGGCGGCTATTGCAGCGTCTGTCGGGTTTATCTTTTATTTACAAAAAAATAAACCCCAAGCTGATTTTTATTTGGCTTTGCGGTAAAGAGGAGGACGGAAAACGATGGGTGCGACCAAATGAATTGCAACTGCCGGCTTTCTGGCAATTATTCATGGGTCCATGTGGAACAGGGGAGAGGAGGAGGAGGAGGAGGAGGAGGAGGACTGGGGGGTCCTTGATGCTCTCTGAACTTAATGGTTTTCATGCAGACATTTCATCACCCAACTAGGTAAAATCATCAGTGCTAGAAGGCAGCGAAGGAGGATGGAAGGAAAATAAAATGAGGAGAAGGAGGACGAATGGAAGGGAGGAAGGAGGAGGACTGTGGGGTGCTTGATACTCTCTCAGCTTGGTCCTTTTCTTAAAGATGTTTCATTATCCAGCTAGGGAACATCATCAGTGCTAGAAGAGAGATTGGTGTCCAGGGAGGAAGAGGAAGAGGGAGGAGGGAGGAGGGGGAGGAGGAGGAAAATAATGACTGTGGGATGCTTGGTGCTCTCTGAGCTTGATGGTTTTCTTACCGATGTTTCATTATCCAAGTAGGTAACATCCTCAGTGTGTCATTAGCGTCAACCTTAGCACTGATGATGTTACCCACCTGGGTAATGAAAGGTCTGCGAGGAAATCTACCAAGCTCAGAGAGCACCAAGGTCCCCCCACAATGGCTTATCTGCCTGCCAGGCCCCCACGGCCCGATGTGTAAATCCCAGAGTGGGGAGACAAAGCCGGCCTGCGGTTCCATCGCCTACCTGGGCCTCGTTCCCTTTTCGTTCGAGGTGAACCATTTTCGGGTAGCCGCCGCCATCCCCCTTGGCTCTCCTACCCCGCTTGGGCCAGCTCTCCAAGCGCGTCTTTTGCAAGTCGATGGTGCTGTAGAGCTGGGAGAGTTTGGGAGACACCTCCACTCGCTCCTGCCCGAAAGCCCGGATCAACCTGGCCGTGTTGATGGTCGACGCCGACTCGCTGCCCTCGGTCGCCGTGGCGCTTTCGGTCTCGAGCCGAGTCCCTTCGGACTCGGAGGTCACGCCGGTCGCCACGCTGGCGTCTCTCCTCGGTCTCAGGTCCGAAGACGTCTCGCTCGGCGTCTCAGAGGCCGGGCCCCCGTCCCGGTTTCGAGCCCCGGGTTCAACAGCCCCGCCGTGGCCGGTTTTCGGGTGCCGGGATTTGGACGGCCAGGCGCCACGGGGACCCACCAGGGCTTCCTCCGACGTCTCCACACTGGGCCGCAACGCTGCTTTCTTCCTGGCCGCCATCTTTTTGCCTCGCGGGCTGCCTAGCCGGGCTGCTCTCCTCCTGGGCTCCTTCTGGTCCTCCAGGGCAAGAGCCAGGGAATGACGGAGGGGATTTTGCAGGAGGCGGGCCAGGCGGTCCAGCCGCTCCACCAGCGAGAGCTGAGTTTTGTGGTTGCTTTCGATGGGCTTCAGCTGCTGCTGCTGGTTCTGTCGCTCCAAATACTTGGCCCAAAGAACATCTAAAGGGCTGCTTCGATGGGTGCTTGGCCCCCTTGGCAGATCCGCTACCCACTTCTCCTTAATCGACCGGCTTCCTGGAGGAAGTTGGCTCGCTCTTCCCGAGCTCGTCGTTTGGGCCTCGGCCCAGTCTCGTCGGGAAGCCTGCTTGGATTTTATTTCCTCAAGGAAACTATAATCTACCTCACCCGTCAGTGGGATAAAGCATTCGTCCCTTTGGGACGGGTGCAGAGCGGACCGTGGGGAAGGGCTGCTCTCTAGGATCCCCTTACGTGGCTGTAAATCTTGGGGGGAAGGAGCTGGCCCACCAGAAGCCGCATCCACTTGTCCCAAAGCCTTGTTCCCGGGAGCGGGATTTGGATCATCCTTCAAAAACGACTTCAGAGGAGGCTGATCCGATTCATAGGCAGGCTGGGAAGTTCGGAGTGATCCCGAGGGATTCCGGCCACCTAAGCAAAAGGGGAAAGGGATCAAGGGAAGAAAAAAAAAGGATCAATTAGAGATCTTCAGCATTCATTCAGGAGAGAAGCGTTATTTTTTATACCGCGTGGCTGTTGACATTCGCAGCGGGTCCAAAGAAACACGGGACGACAGCTGGAGGACTGCGGAGGAATTGTTTGGAATCGCTGTGCGCTTACGGACAGAATCTTGCCGGACGGAAGCCATGATCTGCATAACTGTTAAGTCAGGGGGATCCAACCGTGGCAACTTTTAAGACTTTGGGGACTTTATGTCGGCTGGGGAATTCTGGGCGTTGGTCCACAGGGGGCTTAACTAACGTTGCCGAGGTTGGCTACCTCTGATCTACAGTTATGCAGAAAATGGCTTTAATCTGGCAAGATTCTGTCTGTCTATGGAGATTCTCAGTCATCCAGGTCATAGTTTGTCTCAGAGGTGCTTTTTTCTTTCTTTGCTTCAAAAGGCAACTGGACTGTTTTTCTTTTTATCTGAGGAAGAGGAAGAGGAAGAGGAAGAGGAAGAAGAAGAAGAAGAAGAAG